AATTGCAAACCGTTTCATTATATGTTTCACATCTCACCTGATCTCCAACTGCCTTTAGTCGCGGGTAATGTCCACATTTGATATAAAGAATAATTGTTGCAAGAATACATACTATTGGGAAAAAAGTGATTCCGCCAATAGAGGTGAATATGGGAGTTCCAAGAAGCAGTTCAGAAGAAGGAGGTTCGACCACTTGAACAAGAGATTTATTGTCCTGACGTTTCGGATTCGGTCGGGAATCCTTAATCATAGGTAATGGTATGATAGTCTGAGTCATGCGCAGATATGGGTTAAACATATACAGATTGCATTGTAATTATAGTTTTGTAGCGGTCATCGGCGTGCGTACTATAATTATCCATCCCTGTAGCCTCTGCTTGGGTCTTAATTGGTGCGGTAATGGTTTCACACTTCGCGTTCGACTCATTAATTGCCGCGATTTCTGTGCCCGTGTCGGATGCGGGCTTGATAATTGATAATTATGCTCGCTGTCGTCAGAGTTGTTGGTGGACCCGACCTTTCGCACGAGACTGATTCTTCTGCTCAGGCAATGTCCCAGTACAGAGTGGAGAAACGCCAAATCGCTGCGCTTGTTGATAGACTCGGGGCCCCAGCTGCACAATTCATGGTTCTCAGACGCCCAGTCCATCAACGAGCGCAACGATTTGGCGTTCCCATACTGCCTACTGCGTACTGAGACATTGACATTAAGACACAGTCAAGTGGGAACGACCGCGCCGAGGAACAACTCTGACGACAGCGAGCATAATTGTCGAGTCATTATCAAGCCCGCATCCGCACGGGCAACGAAATCGCGGCGATTACTGAGTCATACACTAGGTGTCAAGCCATCACCGCACCAATTAAGACCCGGACAGTGGCAACAAGAGCGGATAATTACAGTACACACGCGGATGCTCGCTACAAAACTATATTTACCGTGCAATCTATGCGTGTTTAACTCCTATCTGCGCATGGCTCAGACTATAGTACCATTACCTATGATTAAGGATTCCTGACGGAATCCTAAACGTCAGGACAATAAAACTCTCGTTTCTAAAACGGTTTTTTGAAAACTTCGGTTTCAGTGGGAAACTGTGTTCTTATTTCACTTAGCGCCTTATGGCTGACAACAATTAGTTACGCTGATGTTGGATACTAGGCCTACATAAATGCAAGTCAGTCGAACACATTTAAAAGGTATCCAATGACTGCTATTACATTCATATGTGGTGATAAGTTTAGGCATCCCTTACTACCACTTACACTCGTATAAGAGGGTTGGACCGGTGAAAAAAATGTGAGAAGTACATAAAGCTTAATCTTTGGTTAACAGTCAACCCGGCAAAGCCGTTTGTTAACCTCGTTTAAAGTAACATGCGCGATACGAATTTCTCGAGAGAAATCCCAATGTTGAATCCCACGGTATCCCCTTCCGTCTGTTAAAACAGAAGGCAATTAAGTAGAAGGGTCTTATTCCTTTGAGTTTCTAGTCAACCGGTCATACCATCTCGGGTTTAGGTATTTTTGTTGCTCATAACCTGACCGTACTCCTGCGCAGTAAGTTCATGTCTAAAAATATCCACTCAAGTGTGCTGCAATTTTTGTCCCTTCATGAAGGATGTCATGCATAATATGTGCATGCAGTTACTTCGACCAAAGTGGACGATGTCGTTAATCCGGACTGCACATAAACACTTGTGGCCCATGTTTATCTCCACTAGTGGCCAATGGCAAAGTTGTGGCCACAAAACTAAGCAACATTGCAGTCCAGAACTTTAAACTATATTGGCTTATTAACAAATCCTGACTATCGTACACGAGATTTTGACTGCTCGATGGAAATGAAAAATAGAGCCTGCTGGCCATTTGGAACACACTTTTGTGATAGCAAAAGAAGGATTCTATTTTCGTGAATGAAATACAACTTATTCTGGTGCATATTACTGATTCGCTTTCCGCGTTCGAATTATAATCAAGCGTTTCTGAGGGATACATTTCTGAAAGCATATCTAAGGTAATAGTCTTATGAACACGTTCTAGAGGGCACATATTTTCCTGTTTTTTTTT